TTCCATCTTACAATCAGGTTGTTAATGCCCTGATTAAAGAAATCATTTGGCTTTGAAGCAAAAGACATGTCGAAATCCTCTTTAAAAACCTTACACCTTTGCACACGTCTTCCCATTAAAATGGTGTTGCAGCGAACGTAAAAGATAGTAATCTGATGGTACCATATCTGGAGAATATGGTGGGTGGGGGAAAACTTCCCAACCCAACTCCATAATCTTGTCAAACGTGTCACATGTGGACGTGCATTGTCGGGGAGAAGAACACCTTTCCGATTGATGAGTGAAGGGCGTTTCTGATGAAGGGGTTGATTTTAACGTTCCAGTTGCTGACTATAGATCTCTGCATTGATATTTCGCTATTGATTGAGGTGTTCGAAATGAATTACTCCTTTGATGTCCCACCAAATGCAAAGCATCACTTTCTGCGGATGGAGTCCAGGTTTTGGGGTCGGAAGTAGTTTTTGTCTAGGACTGAGCCATTGTTTTTTGCGTTTAATATTCGCATAAAGAATCCATTTTTCATCACCAGAGACAATTTTGTCCAAAAATGGTTCAAGCGCATTACGCGCCAGAAGAGACGAAGCAACGTTCACATATTGAAAACGATGATGATCGGAGACTTCGTGAGGCACACAAACACCTTCTTTATGGAGTTTTCCCATATTTCTTAGATGTTTACGTATTGTTTCATGAGAGACATGCAATTTCACGAGCGTGTTTCCTTGGGTTAGACTCAACAAGCGTCTTCAGAGCACCAATATCAATTCCAACATGTTGGCTCCTGCCATTACAGTTTTTAAGGCTAAAGTCATCTGAACGAAACTTCTTTGTGGCTACAGAGGCGTTGTTTCCCTTCTTGTATTCAAACAGTATTGCATGCTGAATGTGTCTCTCGTCATAAGCCATGACTATAAGAGATTAGAGGATATTAAACTTTAACATTATACAAGCTACACTAATGTGACGTTTAGGTGGTTCGTTTAACTATTATACGTGATGTACGTTTCTGGGGGGATGGTTAATGAAAGTGTTCCAAAAGTCGACATTAATTTCTTGACGACCTAATATATATGTTTACTATAGTTAAGATATCTAAGTATAATTTACATTTTTATTATTATTGTATTTTGAGAACTAAAATCTACAAACAAACATCGCGTTTCTTTCAAGTTTAAAACGTAGCTAGGTCTGAGTGACATTTTAAGACTTCGTAAATCCAGTTAGATTAGTGACAATGTGCCAATACCAGGTTTATCCAACCGGCTCAATGAGAGAGAAATAATGCCATACGTCGCCAATAAATCCACCAATATTAATGAAAAATAAATAATGCCATGGTTCACCAGCCCAACTCAAACTATGACCATCTAATATATGTCAAGCCTTGTAATATCTGCTATATTGGTAAGAGTACAACCATTTAAGACTTCATTAGCACACCTGAATAACAGTAGAACAATAACGTTAGGCTTCATAATCCGGTATTGGGCGACACAAAGCAACTAACTATATCAATAATTAATTAGTACTTTGAGAAAGTAACAACATCAGATTTCATAATCCCAAATGAAACTAAGGCAAGGCAACAATATTAGACTCACGAGATCAGTTAAATAACAATAACGTTAGGCTTCATAATCCGGTATTGGGCGACACAAAGCAATTATGTTGAGTAAAATGTCAGACTTCATCATTTCAACTAGATCAATAACAAAACAATAATGTTAGGCTTCAACAGTACCATTAGACAGGTGGCAAAGCAACAATGTTAAGCTTTAACAATACTACCATATTGATAACAAAGCAATAACATTAGGCTTCAACAATATTACTATACTGATGACAAAGCAAACATGTTAGACTTTAATAGTGCCTATAAAATGATCATAAAGCAAGTTACCAAACGGAGATAGACATATATTTGGTAAGAAATTTTATTCTGCATAGTCAGCAACAAAACATACACTTTATCTTTTTTTCGTGATGTTGACTGTTATTCAAAAGTTTTTAATTACTTGCTAAACATTTTACTCGCCTTTATCTGACTTTTTGCACAAATATGGTGAATAATATAAAAATATCTAAACAATGTTCCGATAAAAACGAATTCAAGTTTGACAAAGTTTCTACCATTTCTCCTATTGGCCACATATCTATTGAACCATTTTTAAGTAGAATCCTAATATTACTCTAAATTTTTCATGATTTTGAGTTAGGAAAGAGTATATGTTAAAAGAGTGAAAAATAGTTACTGTCTTATGTGTTAATTATGCGGATTTATAATATGAAACTTGTAGAAAAATGGGAAAAAAAGTGTTTGTGAGAAAAAGCTATGCACTTAATTTTAAAGAAAAAATGAAACCAAACCTTTATTTGCAAACAATAAAAATATTTCTTTAATAACATTCTTCACACGTAAATGGATGGCAGAGAAAACATCGAAAAGGTCAAACATTTGACATAACTGAACAGAGTTGAAAATTTTAAGTAGCATCATTCTAACATAGAAGTAAAATACTGACATTCCTTCAGTTACTTCAGCTTGCCACCTTTAATATTTGCAGTGATTGTTATAGCTATAATTAATATTCTGAGAAAAATGTTATTATTATACTATTAAATGAACTCAGTAAACTATTTTTAAGGAAAAAGCTCTCTTTTCTAAGTTATACAAAGGATTTATATATCTTCGAATAATTTAATTAATTAAACATCCATTGCACACGATACTAGTCTCACGTATTTCTCAAAGTGCACACACAAATCAAGCATCAGAATCATACTAAGTACATTTAAAATAAACATTGATTACTTTTACATTGCTTAAATGTATATATAAATATAAAAAATGGTGACATAGACAGAGCGCTACCATTTCTGATGCAGAATGTTGTGAAGTTTTATTTTAGTGGAGATAATTTTGTTTTACAGATCTAAATTCATATACATAATAATCTTCCCACAATTGAACGAATTATGCAGCTAATACTATTATGAATATCAGATACATATTTACCTTTATAAGTTATGCTAATTGTGAATTGAGTATAATCTAAACAAACGTTTATTTTTTACAATCTATTAATATGGCTTTATATATATATATTTTTAAATATCTTCATTTCGGGCTAGTTAACATGGCAGACAAAATATATTAAAGTGGTTTGTAGCAATAAAAACTACAAACGTTACTTTTCTCAAGTCAAAAATAGTAAACTGCACATCTTTAATGGGTAAGTATAAAAACTTTCTATCAAAACGAAGCCGAAAATCACAGCCAATAGTCGAAAATCTTGCGGAAGTTATTCTTTCACATATTTCTCTTTTTCCAAATTCAATGAAATAAACTCTGCTGTAAAAAAAATAAAAATAATAATGAACATGTCGTTCTGTAATAAAAATCATTAGTCCGTGATTTATTGTCGCAGATTGAAGGAGAAATTAAAAAACTTTCTCTCTTTAAATTGATACAGAATAACAATAGCAAAATAAAATCACTAAATTAAAATAAACTTAACTCCAAACTTGATTAATTTATAAGGAGAAACAAACGATTGAACGGAAACGTATTGAACGTATTTGCATTGGCTGGCAACTTTATGAGGGTTCCCACTTAATATGAGGCTTGACCATTGATATTTGAACTGAACTGGATTGAGCATTGACCCTTTCACGTGAAGTCATTAGAAATTAAAAATTACCCATTTTCAAGTTTTATGGGGCTGGATTCTTTACAGTAGGTGCCTGTGACTTGTTGGCGATAAATTCGAACAATAAACGGACAGCACACAATCCACTTGTTTTAAAATAGTATTTTCAAAACAAGTGAAACGTATGTATAAAAATTATTTACACTATAGGACATCACATTTATATCTAAAACTCTAATAATTTTCTTTTTCTTGTCAAAAGTCCACACAGACTGGTTTAGTTACGTTAGCACCAAACTGTCAAGACGAATTATTTTTCTCTATTCTGTTTCTTACAACACAGTCTGCGATACATTCGCTGACGTTAGCCTGTGAGTTGCCACAATTGTATCCAGAATTTTAAATAATTATCTCCATTTCGTCAAAGTCCATACAGGTGAGTTCAATTACTTTAGAACACCCTCTGACAAGATAAGTTATTCTTCTTATCTCTGTTAAACTGTGAAACTCACTTTAAAAGATTGAACACATAGAACTTTCGTTCTTAAACTCAAAGATTTTTTAGCTGCCTAGTTTTGTTTGAATTCGTTATTACGTAAAGTTTTTTTTCTAATTTTTTGAAGTATTTTGACAGATAAAGTTTGTCATAACAAACAAATAAGTAAATGGAATAAACTGTTATAGCATATAGGGCTACAGTACTCTCAAGAAACTAATGAACAAAACATTGTTAGTACATTCGAAATTAACTTATAGTAATCTACTCTATATCTGACTGAAAACATAACATCTGTGAAATCAGTAAGAATGTATTTGAAATTTATTAAGCAATTATGATGCTACTGCTACTTTTGAGAATATTCATTCCTATATACAAGCTATACCTGTCTACATAGACGGATTATAGTTTCCTTTTTGAGTGATACTATCGTACTTGTGTAGAAGGTAACAGTTAGTAGGAAATATCACAATAATTACAGTGATCAAGCAACAAAGCAGGTTGCCCATGTAATGAAGAACAAAGGCTTAAATAAATTGTTGATTCAATTGCATGTTATGGTTTACTTGCAGTCTGATAAAGAGTGAAAATTGGTGCGAAAGTACGTTGATGCAAAAACATCCGATAATGTGTTATAGATCCAGTTACCTCAAGTAAAACATCTGTGCAGAGTAATGTTAAAGGTCATGTACTTCTAGATCATAGATGTCATGACAAAAGAACATACATTTGAAACGAACTGTTATTTTTTTCAAGATTATTGTAAGGGCTTTGAAAAAACAAAATTTAATATCCACCAATGGTTTTGATGTACTGAATAGCAATTTTTATGACACAACTTTAGAAATATTTAAAGAGCCATTGTTTATTAACAGGAAAAAAATTGACTCGCAGAAAATATCTTCCACTTTTTCGGCCTTTAGCTCTAACACAGCAGTTTTATTTCTCCAAAGCCTATAATTTTATAAGACGTACTTTTAGTCTTGCTTTATCACATTCATTGTTATTCATGTGGTATCAAAACATTAATGTGGCACCAAGATTTAAACAAGAAAAGCACTTAGTGCATTGCAATAAGAGGTAGAAAAAAAGAAAAGATAAAATTGATTATATGGTAAAAACTGATATGTACAAAATATCAAGCGAATATGGAAATATTTCTTCAATACATCTGTGTGAAAACACTTACACAAGTGTCGTCCTTATCTTAATATTATAACTTTATTATTAATAATTCAGCAGATCACAACAAAATTAATTTAAATCAACACAATATTACAAGTTATTGTCATTTTTACAATGCCAATTCTACAAACAAGCCTCCTCCCCACCCGATGAGTTAGCAGTAAGTCTAATGACTTAAAACGCAAACATCCGGGTTTCGATTTCTAGCGGTGAACTGAGTGGAGACAGCCCATTGCAATAAGAAAACAGATAAGAACAAGTATTTTTGCACTTTATATAGATATTTCATTTTCATAGTTACTTCATAAACTAAAAAGTAACACAAATGCATTAAGCTGTACACAATAACGTGACAAGAAGTACCAGGAAAACGTGCTTGTCATTAACGCGGTTACAACTGACAATTCAGAGACCAGCAATATGGCTACCACTTGAAGGCAAGAATCAATACAGTAACACTAGCCAATGCACAGTGCAGTTCAGTAAAGGGATTAGTGGGCTGGACTACCTTTCTATGCGATAATAGCCTGGAATCGAGATCGAGGTAGCATATATTCCACAAAATGCCGTAAGGTCTCACATTCCATTGCAGCCCGTTTATAGAGGACTATAGCTTGCAATTGTTGCACAAGTATCGGCAGAAGGTTTTGATACCCAATACGATGTTCACATCCATTCCCAAAAGTGCTCAGTCGAACTGAGATGTGGTAGTTAGTGTGGCTAAAGTTACTGTCATTTACACATATTTCCGTCGAAACACACATGGTTGATTACTGCATTGTCAAATTAGAAAAATCCTTGTCCATAAGGTTAAAAAAATAGCTATGAGTGGCAAATGTGTTAAATTATGTCCTTCTAAAAAAATAAAGTAACAAGAACGTTCCTCAATACATTATACCACGTCTAACGGTTTACCATTTTGGAACCACACAAGTGATATAAGTCGTTTCATGTAATTATTTCTGTGTTCAACCATAACATCATTTCGCGATTCACATTTAATATTCTCTGGCCTTTACTCATTCACTGTTTACAGTTTGCACTTTAAGCATTACTGAAGCTTTACTTTTCTGTTTGCAACCGAAATAAGGGGTTTTTAGACTAAATGTAAGCTGCTATTTGGAATCGGTTAGTTTCACAGTTTGAATTCTGTTGCACTTTACAAACTTGTCAAATCGTCTTTTCAATCAGTTTTTAGTGGTTTGCAACTACACATTTTCCTAGAGAAAGATGCATCTCCTTTCGATTTGCCTTGTAATAAAGTTCAACATCAGATGCCTTTGAATAACAGGGCAAAGAATGAGTCTAACAGGCACGCACTAGACAAGCACCCACTACTGTATTCCTTATTCAAAGAGATCCTTGCGTTTACCAGTTTTCTTACAGACTAACCATTATGCCCCCCAGTGGCACAGCGGTATGTCTGCGGACTCACAACGCTAGAAACCAGGTTTAGATACCCATGGTGGGCAGAGCACAGATAGCCCATTGTGCTTAACTTCAAACAAACCAAACTAACCATTATATTGCTACATCTCTACATTTATAAGGCCCAGAATTACTTGAAACGACACGTGACCAACCTATTTTGCATAGATAAAAATATTATTTTTGTTTTGTTTTGAATTTCGCGCAAAGCTACGCGAGGGCTATCTGCGTTAGCCGTCCCTAATTTAGCTGTGTAAGACTAGAGGGAAGGCAGCTAGTCATCACTACCCATCACCATCTCTTGGGCTACTCTTTTACCAACGAATAGTGGGATTGACCGTCACATTATAACGCCTCCACCGTTGAAAGGGCGAGCATGTTTGGAGTAACGGGGATTCGAACCCGCAGATTGCAAGTCGAGCGCCCTAACCACCTGACCATGCCAGACCCAGTTCCTAATCTCTTATGTATAAAATGACTAAATGAAAAGTAAAATCGATAATCATTATTGACAGAAATACTAATACGGAAATAAAGTGAAAATTATTACATGTGCACCTAATTACGAATAAATGAAACGACCGTGAAGTTAATTTGAGCGATATAATTCATTACAGATAATTTATGTTCCTAATGAGAAGCCCAAATGTTGCACAGATAAACAAACTTTGAAAGATTTTCTGGAGTTCATAATCGTGTATACATGACATATTTAATGCTTCACTAAACCAGTACAAAGTAGACGTATTTATCAGCTTAAATTAATATAAAAACAATATGCAAAACATATTTTACAGTTTTTAAAACACTGTCACGCAAACGTACAAATAGCATTATGAACATCAAAGGCAGAACTTTTATCATTAGCAAAATAGTAATTACCTAATGCTTAGCTATAATATCCGTACCATGGTTACATTTATCGCTAGACTTTCAAACAGAACATACCTTTTAACAGCCAAATTCTTCGTAAGCTTACGGTACGATCACCGCTCCCATCCTCTTCAATGCCAAAATCGTATTTACGGCTTTCTGTAGTAGAACAAATCAAACCAGCAGGAGGGCAAGTTAATGAATAATGGCGCATCTTGATATCCAAGCTATGGGTAAGTTTGTCTAATGCTAAAAGTAAACATTTTAATTTTTTTTCCTCTTCATGTAAAAACTTTTCGCGAATACAGGAATAATATAAAATGTCCTCGTGATACCATGAGGAAATTCTTTTTTATTAGTTGAAAATTTCCTCACTTCATATAAAATTTCCTCAAAAGCAGAGGACATTTCCCCCTCTCAGAAACAAAGTTTCTCTATAAAGGGTATAATCCCAGTCGAATTGACCTGATCATACAGTATTTTATTTTGCACTTTTTTTTTAATCGTAAGTTTAATTATATTAGCTTCTTCGACAAATTTCCTTTATGTTTTGTTTCCAGTAATTGGAAAAAACAATAACAATCTTCAATGACGAACTAAACAGTTTTGGTTTCACTACAGTATTCCAGTGTTAACCAACCAACATTTACCAATTATTTGAGAAAAAGGCCGTGAAGAAATTCTGGTGAAGAAAAATTTAGATAGAGGAAATTGGCCTTTTTTCACCTCTTGCAAGAGATTATCAAGAAAAAGTAATAAAATGATACTGATGCGGTGAAGAAAAAATTCATAAAAGCTGTTGTCTAAAAATCAGATAGGTGTGCATGTATCTTTACATATAATATGCACTAAACAATAACTATAAGTAAGTATAGTTTCATCTTTAGTAGGCTGCCATATTATTTGTTAGATTGTGTAGAAACGATTGCTTATTATAATTTAGTAAGAAAACCACATTCGTTTCTGTAATTAATAATTTATTGATTGATAATTACTGATTATTTTAGAATTTATTTCTTATTTTATTTTCCTCTAATATAAAATATGTCAATAGATAGAGAGAAAAAAGTGAGTTTGCTCACTACATCCCAGGGTGTTCCCGCCATACCATGGTTTGGGCCCCTAGTGACTCAGCGGTATTCTGCGGGCTCATACCGCTAAAAATCGGGTTTACATACTCGTGGTGAGCACAGCACAGATGACTCATTGCGCAGCTTTGCACTTAACAACAAGCACCATGGTTTGATCTTTGAAACTATAGGTAATCTATAACTATAAAAAGAGCCTCTGTGTGTATGTGTGACCGCCATAGCTCCAAGAGACCTGAAACTCTTCACACATACTAAGGGATTCTGAAGGTGTGCACCTGGCTATTATTTTTTAGATTTGACTCAAAAGATTTTGGCCAATTGTTTGTCCCATAGCCCTTTAGCCCCATAATTCTTCTTCCTGAAGGTCTATAGAAAAGTATCATATATTTTTCTAATTCTCACTTACTGAATGAACAATATGTGAAGGTTTTCTGCCAAATTCTCTTTTTCAACACAAACATGGAAAGAAAAATATGAATCAGAGAATACTGGAGAATTCGGAGAATGAAAATAATTCAGATAAAAACACAGGAAGAAAAAAAAAGCGAATCTGAGAAACTAAGTTAAAATTGTTTGCTTTAAAAAAAAGAGTTGAATAGAATTAAGTTCAGAAAATGGCAACAGCCAAATCAGTTAAAGGTTTGACGCATTGGGGTAGCTATAGAAGTAACTAAGATAATGGAGACGCTAGACTGGTACACTGAGGCCTCTGTGAACCATGTGGGGGGCCTTACAATCTCGCAGTGGAGCGTGGGTATTTTATGCTAGTGTTCAATAACACCCATCAAATCAAACGTTGGCTTGGGATATAAATACGATTTTCACAATCCTTATAACAACTAACATTGTAGGAAGAGCTAATTTCTCTAATATTATATTTCACCGAATTTTTCCACGACTCTTGCAGCTGGTTAATGCTTAATAGTTCTATATATTTTTGTTAAGAAGTAAATAGTCAACAATTGTATATATTCGCACGTGCTTCTAGAATTAGAGGTGAAGACAGCTCTTCAGAACAATGGTATGCAGCCGATACAAATGTGGAGAAACCTTGTTTCAGGTTTGGTGCACACAACTATACACAAAAAAAGCTATCTCTGCATAACCCGTTTAGAATTTCGAGCTCATAAACTGGAGTAAGAGCAGTTGGTTAACAGTACCCACCGCTAATTCTTTAGCAACTATTTCTTGTTTGATCAAATAGTTGGATTTGATCCACCACTCCACGGTTCCAAAGTGCGGAGAGCGTCTTTACGACAACGGACCATGAACCCTCGAATTCACAGTTCGAGCATGCTAACAACCGGATTATGCCATGTGGATAAAAATCGACACACGTAAAAGAAGATGTAATTTCATGTTTTTTTTTTGTGTGTAATAGAAAAACTTAATTTTCACCAACACATGCATAAACTCAAAACATACCTGCCACCTTCGACGGGTTACGAACTTTTTTAGTTTGGTTTTATTCAGTTGTGCTACTTCTTTCTTTTTATCTTCCTGAAAAGAGAAAGTAACCAAAATCATGCAAACTTTCTGTAAAATAAGTATTAATTATGTAATTTATACTTTCTAAGCCGGTATGTTTTATCTATTACTTTATGATATATGCAAACATGGATAAGAGAGATACGTGGATCGATAAATAGACTAATAGGAATAGCGTATAAAAACAGTAATGATATTCAAGTTTAGAACATTAAGCTTAATGACCACGTGATACATATATAAATGAAGTTTTCAGGTCCGTATCTTATAACGAGAACTAATCGAAATAAAAGCACTTTCGTTAAAGTTACACGATGCTAATTACAATACATAATACTGTGGGTTCTGTGAGCACTTTCGTTAAAGTTACACGAAGCTAATTACAATACATAATACTTTGGGTTCTGTGAGCACTTTCGTTAAAGTTACACGAAGCTAATTACAATACATAATACTTTGGGTTCTGTGATACATTCATCTTTCAGTTCTTTCTAGTTTTTCTTATAATTCAGTATTTCTAATCAGAATTTCTTTGTTCAATTCATGCTGTAAAAGCGCTACCGGCATTATATAAATAGCAAGATTGCTATGAAAACGCCCGGCGTGGCCAGGTGGATAAGGCGCTCGACTCACAATCTGAGGGTCGCGGGTTCGAATCC